TTTTTCTGACACTACAATAAACTTAATCCAGTCGTATCTGTCCAGTCGCCACCACGCAGTTGTCACTCCTGTTTTCTATCTATGTCAATGATCTTCCATGTTGTGTATCAAACTGTGAGTTACAAATGTATGTGAGTCGTCCTTTAAGTAGAATTGATGAATATGTTTCTGCCTGTATTGACGATCTTTGGGAGATACATATATTGGCGGGTATACAAGATGTGTTCCAAAGTAAACAAGACTTTTTGAACAGAACAAATGGTTTTTTCGGCAAAATCAATTTATTTTATTCAAAATAGTCTCCTTCTGCTTCAAAACACGATCCAAAAGCATGTCGAACGAGAGTTTTAGCTCGTTGGCCGGTATGGCCGCCAGTATGCCGGTGCAAGCCTTTTCCTTTCATGGGCAAATGCACTTTTCCGAAAAGGTAGAAGTCGCACGGTGCCATATCAGGTGAATACGGCGAGTGGTTAATGGTTAAAATGTGATTTTTAGTCAAATATTCGGACACAAGCGTCGATCGATGAGACGCAATTTTAGGTCGTCAGTCAATTTGTGCGGAACAAACCGTGAACACACCTTTCGTAAGCCCAAATGTTCGGTCAAAATGTGATAAATCGATGTTTTGGAGATGTTCAATTCCATTTCCATCAATTTCAATGATGATTTCGGCGATTTTTGATGAATTCACTCACAGTTTCGATGGAATTTTCGAAAATCACGAATTTTGATTGGCCCACATGATGATCGTCATTTACGACCACTTTGAAAACGTTGAAACCACTCGTGCGCTCTGCTACGGGATAGGCAATCATCGCCATAAGCTTGTTCCATCAATTGAAACGTTTCGGTAAAAGTTTTACCAATTTTAAAATAAAATTTAATGTTGGCTCTTTGTTCGAAGCTCATTCTCGCACCGATAACACAAACATACTGACACTTAAAACGCAATAATTTCACTTCCAATCATGAAATGGACAATCGAGAAAGATAGCAGATTCTAACGCACCAGTCGACATATAGATAGCGCCACCAGGGGGCGCTAGATTCAAAAAGTCCTGTTTACTTTGGAACGCACCTTGTAGATTTGAAGCTAGCCCGAAAAAGTCAAAATATTTATTAATACACAAAAAGAAAGTACAGACACTCAATTTAGAGAAACTGCGGCTAAATAACGAGCTCATCGAATACGCAGCGAGGGTAACCAACTTTTGGATAACCATGAACGAAACACTATCGCGGAATAACCATGAAAATAAAACAGTTGGAAAGCTATATACTTCGCCGAGGCATCTTTGACGCAGCATTTCCTTCCAGTTAAGCTCAAGCTCCTAATTGCTAAGACTTTCTTGACACCCTCATTATTCTACGGTATTGAAATCTTCGCGAGCTGTGATGCTGTAAGCCAGAATAAAATTGCATGATTAATGTTTAGTATTAAAAGTAGACAAACTATTACGACAACAAGATAATTGTACAATCTGACCTTTAACTCCTGGTTAAAACTGAGAACTTTAACCTGAAGACAATTACAAGCGAGACGCACTTTAGACATAAAAGTCAAGCACACTTGCAATGAATATGTAATCAATTAATAATAATATGAATAAATTTAGTTAATTTAATTTTTTTAAATTAATTGCTAAAAGTTTTGTTTGAATTTTTTTCTTTTTTGTGACAGGGCATTTAAGAGTTGAGCTCGACTCTTTCTTATTTTTTTATAGCCTGTACCCAAAGGGTGAAAGGCTATACTAGTTTTGTGCGAATGTATGTAACACACAGAAGGAGGCGTGGCAGACCCCACAAAGTATATATATTCTTGATCAGGGTGACAAGCCGAGTCGAGCCATGTCCGTCTGTCCGTCCGTCCGTCTGTCTGTATGAGCGCAACGATCTCAGCAAGTACAATAGATAGGATAACCGAACTTGGTATTCAGGTTCCCCCAAGCCCCAGGCAGATCGAGTTTGTTTTTTTTCTGATAACCCCCCCCCCCCACCCCCCCCCCCGCCCCCCCCACTCCCCCGGCAGCGATGCCCGCAGCTGTTGTTGATGTTGCTGCTTTGGTTCAACTTTATGCTGCATACATACACGCATAGGCACGTGATGTAAATGTATGCTGCTAAAACTGAACAAAAACATATCTTCTAATTTAATTTAATTTAATTAATTCCATTTTTTTAATAATTTAATTTTTTTTTAAAATTTTTCTTTTTTGTTGAGAGTACAGGCTATTTTACTGTCGGGCTTGCTCAACTGTAGCGTTCTCTTTTGTTTCATTTTATTTTTATTTCATTAAAAATTAATTTTAGCCATTTATTATTCAGTTTTACAAAAGTGAGCTTTTGCAATGTGTCCGGAGTGAGGTTTGATTACAGATCTGATAACACCAAGTTAAGGGCAGAAAATGCACGACACTCACTTTCAGGAACAGAGTGCACTGCACAACTTTCGCTAGTTGCTATAAATTCGAAAAATGTAACCTTTTTTCTTCCCAGCACTGTATTATATTTATATTTATATCAACTGGTTTCGGGTTATAATTATATATTTCAAGATAAGTTATTTGTAATTTCTTATCAAATACGTCATCTTTTTTTTCGTCACCTAAAATTATCTCAATAAAATAAAATAAATTATTTAAAAGAGACCAGGTATTTGAATCAGTATTCTCTGACTCAAAAGATGTTGATGCTTGCGAGCTGTCAATGCATGGGGTTGGCGTGTTCAAAATTTCAAGAATTACGTGAGTTATGGTAAATCACTAATAGCGGGGGAGTGCGGGAGTGTGTATCAGAATAAAGTAAGTAAAAATGTTAAAGTCGGGTGTACCGACTTTGAAATACTCTCTACATATATTTAAAATATAATTATAGAAATTTAAAAAATTAAGAGAATTAAAAAAAAAGTTGATTGATTTTACCTCTCTCGGTATTCGAACTCACGTAATAATTGCACATTTACATAGCAATTGCGTCTATTTGAGTGTATGAATGTCTATGCGCGTCTATTCGCGTCTGTGTGAACATATTTGCAGTCAACCACAGCACCAGCATCAACAACAGCTGCGGGCAGCGCTTGGGCAGCAAATATATTTATGGCTATAACGGTCTATCATAGTGAAACTTGGCATACGGACACATAATAACTAACAGGTGGTATTTGGTTCGAAATTACAAGAATTAAGGAAGTTACAGAAAATTGCGATTTGCGGGGGAGAGGGAGGGAAATTCCAAAATACACATTTTCTGCGTATTCACATAAGGCATGTTGGACTAAAATTTGGTGTCCCTAGGTTATATGGTCCCCGAAAACTGGAAAAAACCCCCATAGGGAGGAAGTGGGTGGGAAAATAAAAAAATAAAACAATCTTGCACAGCATACACACATAACGTATCTTAGTGCAAAGTTTGGTGTCTCTACCTCTTATAGTCTCTGAGATCCAGGTGTTCATACGGACAGACGGACGGACAGGCAGACAGGGCTAGATCGACTCGTCTCGTCATGCTCATCAAGGATATACTTGTATATACTTTATGTGGTTTACCACGCCTCCTTCTGCCCGTTACATTTTCAGCTCCCGCAAACCTAATATACTCTTGAACATTTCAAGTACAGAGTATAAAAACAAAAGAGAACGCTACAGTCGAGCATACATACATCGTCGTGTTTATGCGTGTTTATATGCGCGTATGTATGCAGCACAAAGTTGAACCAACGCCGCAACAACAAAAACAGCTGCGGGCAGCGCATGGGCAGCGATTTCATTTATGGCTACAACTTTTTATACCCTGTACCCAAAGGGTACAAGGGTATATTAGTTTAGTGCGAGTGCACATGGAACACACAGAAGGAGGCTTGGTAGACCCCACAAAGTATATATATTCTTGATCAGCATGACAAGCCGAGTCGATATAGCCATGTCCGTCTGTCCGTCTGTCTGTCCGTCTGTCTGTCTGTATGAACGCAAGGATCTCCGAAAGTATAAGAGCCAGAATAACCAAACTTGGTATACAGATTCTCCTGAGCCCGAGATTGGACGAGTTTGTTCACTCCCCCCCCTATTAACGATTTTCTATAACTCCCGTAATTTTGAGGTAGTCACATTAGGTTAGTGATTATATATCCGTATACCAAGTTTCATTATGATAGAATGATCGGAAAGAAAGTTATAGCCATATAACCAGGCCCAATGCACACATACATACATATGTACAAGTACACAAACACGCATAAGGCACGATTCTGATGTAAATGTAAATGTATGTATGCATGCATGGAATATTTTCTATTTAATTTAGTTAATTTATTAAATTAATTTAGTTAAATAATTTAATTAAATTAATTAATTAACTAAATTACTTTTTTGTGGGGTGGTACAGGGTATTTAAGAGTTGAGCCTGCTCGACTTTAGCATTCCTTTCTTGTTTCAAACCTAAAATACCCTTGTACATACATTTCATGTACAGGGTAAACAAAATCAACATTATTTCATTTGAAATTAGTTTATGAAAAATGTTTTTTATTTTAATTCGTACAGAAAATTTCTTTTAGTATCTTGAAACATCCACCAACATTCTGAAGAATTAAACAAAATATATTTACATCAAGCATTAAAAAAAACCTTAATTTAAGTTTTATTTAAATTCTACCAATCTTGGAAATGATCCTTTTATTTTATAGAAACCACAACAGGGCTCTTTAAATATAAAATAATTTAATATTTTGAAAGATTTAAAGCTGTTTGACCGTTACAAATATAAATATAAAAATAATAATGTTATGTTCGACTGAGGCACTACACTCGAAAACATATAGTATAGTATCTGACAAAGGAAATCAATACTTTAAAGTTTGAAAAAATTTGGTCATTTGTTAGCATAATTTTAGTAAAATATTTTGAAGTTGTCTATACAATTTAATAAAAATATGTTAAGATATAGGATGTTTTAATAATAATACCATATCAAAAAACGTTGAACCCCAAGAAAAACATGTATTCTATATTGCTCAAAGCGTTTGTTTTTAAATGCGTCTTTTTTTGTTTCAAATTGTAAAAAATATAAATCTTGTTAACCCTAAAATAATAATACTCTTGCAACGGAGTACTGTATGTGTATAAAAAGTGTCCCCTGTTCATAGGCGAACAGCCGGTCGTACCCAACCACCAAATGTGCGCTCCAGCTCTTCTGCTACAGCCAGACACAATCGATCTTCGTTAAAATTAGCTATGATCTGTACGCCAAGGGGCAAGCCTTCACTACCGAGCTTGCCTAACGGTACAGCTGTAGCTGGAAACCCAAGTATATTGATAATGCCTGTATATGAAAAATTTATGGGTCGAAAAAGGGGCTCGTTGTGGTATGGTGCCACAGTCGGGTGCGTGGGATAGATAAGAACACCGTTATCCCCTAGAAGACGTTTTAAGTTTTCGCGAAGATTATCGCACTTACGCACCATATGATGGTACTTAGCGGACCCGTATCGACACTGCAGATTATCCATTATCGCCGTTATTAAGCCGATTAATGTGTGCTTTGATGCACCGAAAATCCATTTTAGAAGCTCCATATAAGTATTGATTTCGTAACGTAGGTCGCCTAATTGATAAGCAAAGCCATGACCGCTATCATCGCGCATGTTGGCGAACCAAATGGCAGCCGATTGACGAAACTCGGGCAATTGTATGCGTGTCACTTGTTCTTCGCCGAATTTATCACGAATATGATCAACAACGCGTTGCAAACCCGCGCGAATATCTCGGTCCACTTTAGAAACCAGGCGGCCACCTCCGTCTGTCTCTTGGTAATAAAACTTAAGTGTATGCAGTTCCACCGGCTTGTCCAAGTGTAAAATCGAAGCTTTCTCTCCTGCAATAATTTGCAGCATAGGACGCAAATCTTCAGAGAATCGCGACATGGGGCCTAACCCAAGGAAAGAATTCTGTTCGACACTAAAGGGTGTCGGAAACTGGCCAGCATTAGAAACTATAAGTTTACTGGGTTTGTGCCCAAAAATCCCATTAAAGAATGCAGGCATGCGAATTGAGCCCCCTATATCCGACCCGAGTCCAAAAGCCGAGGCAGCCGACGCTTGTACGCAGCCTTCGCCCCCACTGGAGCCACCGACGATGCGATGTGTATCATATGCGTTACGCGTTCGGCCATGTACAGTATTGTTGCTCTCCCACCACATACACACCTCTGATACATTCGTAAGAGCAAATGGAATCGCTCCTGCTTTTCGCATAAGCGCCATAGCGTCCGCATCCTGATTAGCACGCATACCGCGACGAGAATAGAGCCCAGATGTATGAAGCATGCCTAAACCAGGAAATAAATATCATTAAATCTGTATAATTATACTGGCTTAATTTTCTACCCCGAACATCTGATTGTCACTACCAATGTTTTTTTTAATGTGGTAGCAAAAATGCCTCAATAGCTTTAAAGTAATATAATAATTACCAACAAAAATGTTGTTGCTTGGTTCAGTGGTTCATATAATCATCGTTTCACATGTGTTCAAGATCCTTCGAGAAAAAAATTATAATTTGACAAAGTTTTACCCATTATTTTCAAGAAATAATTTATTTCATGGTTATATAAAACATTCCGCTATCAGATGTTCAGAATGTTAACTCATGTTACTTTGTTTTTACTTTACCCTTTACAGCTATGCAGTCTTTCGTGGTTATAGGAACACCTAAAAATGGTTTATTTTTTGCTAGCTGATCTACAGTATATTGGCTTGATTGAATAAGTGCATCAGCTTCGGATGCCTCCTTTAGGGCTTGGTTGTATCTTTCATCTACCACGCAGTTAAGTATGGGATTTACCTCTTTCACGCGGTGTATGAATGCCTCCAATACTTGTACACTGCTTAGCTACGACAAGTACACAGATACTACTTGTAGAATTTATAGAATAATTAACAAAGCTTGTACTTTACCTGCTGGGTGCGTATTTTATGTGCCAAAGACGAAGCAGATTCCAGCAATATTGGGTCAGTTATTGCCGGCATACTCTTGCCTTTTTTCCCATAGAATATTCGAAATATAAGACGTATAATCGTCTGCAACAGACCGAAGATGTAGTCTCTCATGGTATTCTGGGTTATATCAGATGTGAAGAGGTATTTTTATAGCACTTTTTTATTTGGAAGGTGTACCTAAAAAGGCTAAGGAAAAATAGTTCAGTATCATTTCGAATGCCTAAACACTAATAATTTAAAACTTAACATAAATGCAGATAAGCACTAACTGGATGAAGTAATTGGATTTAAGTAAAAAAAATTTGTTGCTGCTTTGACTTAAACTAACTTCATTATACATGTTTTACATGTTTATTAGGACTTAATATTGAGTTGTGAATTAATGAAGTCCTGGCAAAAAAAAAAATTTGATCGATTTCGTGTCTATGTGAGCATGTTTTCAGTCAACCAAAGCACCAGCATCAACAGCAGCTGCGGGCAAAGCTGGGGCAACAAATATATGTATGGTTTTTTTTCCCGTTTTTTTGGCAGAAAGTCCAAAAAAATGTTGTCGAAATATAAAAAATTTTATTTTTATTTTATTATAAATTGTTTAATTAAGCGAAAATTAAATTAATTCCTGCTGATATGGCAACACCATTTTCTTGGCGCGCAATCAAAGTTACCTGATTGTGTGAAACACATGTATTTGTGATTTTGCCAGCAATTTTTGCTAAACTTTCAGAGTTTGCAGAATTAAGAAAATAACCTACAAAAGTTAAGTTATATAATGGAAAACGTTAATCAAGGTATGTAAAATTATAATCCAAAACTGTTTTTAAGCGATAAAGTGTGTTCGTGTAATAGTGCCATGTGTTGCTCGTGTTTTTTAAAAATTAACATTTTTAAGTTGGGCTGTTTCCTTGAATAGTACTTTTGAATGGTAAAGAGTTGCAAAAAGTTATAAATGTGGAAATACTAACTAATATATGTTTATTATGGAATTACTAAAGAACTTCGTCACAATTTGCACGTTTTCTGTAAAATTGCGTTTGTTGCAGCAAAACTACTGTTTGGGCATGCAAACATTGTTGACATTTGTAGCAACAACAAAGACTCAGAATACGTATTTAAGCAGAATATATTACAGAAAATTAACGTAAGCATCTTAGATGAATACAATACTATGTAATTATCGGTAAAAGTAAAATCCTTCTCCAATTATATGAAAAAACACATGCCAAGTTGTAATCAAACTTTAAAGTCAGTAACCACCGCGTCAAGGGAATACCAACTGAAGGGAACATTTCTCGTGCAATATGATAATGAAACGGTGACGGTTCAAGGCAGGAACTACAGCAGCTACACATCAACTCGAATGATGGCCAAGCTCGCCGTGCTGAGGTATGTCCACGACTTTAGTGTGAGGAACCTGAATAGACTGCATGTCAAATAAGATGGTGGTATCACTCTGCGCGGAAGCCGCACTAATCCTGGCGGCGACGCTCTATCTTATCTGGAGGAAAATCAAGTCGACCAAACGTATTCCAAGGCCGAGCGACATCGCCGCCCAATTGGAACCCCAAGTGGCCTGCGAAACATCCAAGGCCTAGTGATCTGCGGGACGCCGATCTTGTGGAAGGGATGAGTTAACACACAACATTGCTGCCCCCTTTTCAGCGCTGGCTCCAACATACGCAATTCTGCAACGTTAACATAACATAAGTGCTGCGGACATTGTGGCCAGGCCGGCAACGCAGCATGTAACGCAGCACACAGGAAATCTGACGCTGCACAACGGGCCCGAGAAACTGGGCCATCCGACCGCCGACGGAGGCGCTTGCTGCCGCTCTGGATAGCGCGGGAGAATTATTCTTAAGCTGAATACAGGGCACATCAAACCTTACAAATTCTGGATCATAGTAGAAACTACTTAAGTGTAACCGTCTTACCGATAGTTATAAATTGAATTGGTAATAAGTTGTTAAACGCAGCAGGCAACTCATTTGCAAAAGGATTGACTAACACGGATCAGGTTACCCATCACAGCATTATGGATGACCTTAACTTATATACATATACGGTTATAACTTCCTGTTAAATCGACATATCATTATGAAACCTGGCATACAGACTCATACTTACTAAGTGGAAGTATTTTCCGAATTTCAATGAAAAAGTTCAAGAAATACGGGAGTTATGGAAAATCAGTGATTACGGGGAATATGGGGGAGGGAGGGATATTCCAAAATACACATCTTTCGTATTCACCAAGGGCTACAATTTGGTGTCCCTAGCTAAGAAAATTAAAAAACAAGGAAAAAAGCTAAAGTGTGTGTCCCCGAGTACTCTGTACATATGTTTAGAATAATTATAGAAATTACAAAAAATAAAGAAAATTTAAAAAAGAATTTTGATCGAGTTTTAATCTCTCGGTGTTGGAACTCACGTTAAGGGTGAATAATTGCACATTTACATAGCAATTGCGTCTATGTGAGTGTATGAATGTCTATGCGCGTCTATTCGTTTATGCATGTTTGCAGTCGAAAAATAGCAACATCAACAACAGCACTTGAGCAGCGCTTGGGCAGCGCTTGAGCAGCAAATATATTTATGGCTATAACTTCCTGTTAAATCAGTCTATCATAATGAAACTTGGCATACGGACACATAATCGCTAACTGGGGGTATTTCCCAAATTTGAGTTAAAAATTCCAAGAATTCCGGGAGTTACGATTTGTGGGGGAGAGGGAGGAAAATTCCAAAATTCACATTTTCTGCATATTCACATAAGGCATCTTGGACTAAAATTTGGTGTTCCTAGGTCTTACAGTCTCCGAGATATAGGCGATTATACGACTGGAAAATCGGGAAAGCCCCCATAGGAGGGAAGGGGGGAAATTAAAAAATAAAACAAACTTGCACAGCGTACACACATAACGTATCTTTGTGCAAAATTTGGTGTCTCTAGCTCTTATAGTCTCTGAAAATATATATATACTTTGTGGGGTCTGACACGCCTCCTGCCTGTTACATTTTTCAGCTCGCGCAAACCTAATATAAGTTAACATTTTAGTCACTCAAAACGCCAACATTGGGTAGCAAATTGTCGCATTGACCGCCGCACGTGGCAAATCAACGTGCTGGAAAATGCTGACATAAGGTGTTGCGTATGCAGTTCAGTGCATACGGGGTCAACGCGCTAGCAGACCAACTACCGTGGGATCGCAACCTCAGCAGTCTACATTTATATAATCGAGGAGTCAGCTGAACCGATAGCGACTATTGGTTCCCAAGAAGGCAAAGATGTGGACTCAGCGATTCTCGGTGCAACGTCGACGCCGACGTCGACATATCAACGTGGAACAGAGGTTTCGTTAGGGCTTAGCTTAGATATTAAGGCCAGTTTTTGAATCAACTCGAAGGTAAGCACATAGTGCTGAATAAAATGATATTTTTGTATATCAATCAACAACTAATTGATTAATTGGCGCCCGAGCAGGGACCGCGGTATACTATTCGAAAAACGTAAGACCATACGGTAGTCTGTGAAATGATAATATAATCCGCGAGTCAACTATACAAATCCTGACCGCGGTATACTATTCGAAAAACGTAAGACCATAGAGTAGTCTGTGAAGTGATAATATAATCCGCGAGTCAACTCAAAAACATAAGACCATAAGGAGTCTGTAAGGTGTTCATAAATCCGCAAGTGAACTATAAAAATCTCGTGCAACTGGCTCCTTAGTAGTCTACATGAAGTAGTACAAAAGGGAAGGACGTAGGTCCTAGCCATCCGAGATCGAAATCACATACTGAAAAACTTAAAGTGCGTTAAGGAAAAAGAAAAAAATATATAAATAAATAAATAAAAGGAAAAAAATTGTCCCAAAACATAATTTATATAAATCTATGTACAATAAAATTCAAGGTGCATACAGAAAATACGAACACAGTGAATACTAAGGAGAAAATTGTTTGAATAAACCAACAATAAAAAGTGCAAAAGAAGTGAACACCAAAATTAAAAGCTGCCTAAAACATCATCAAGAACTAAAAAGAAATAAATCAACTATTACAAATTGAAGACATCCGAGTGCCGTCGAGGACAGTCCAAGCATTAGAAGACATCAATACAACGGAAGACATAAATACATCTATACATCAGAAGACAACCGGACTATGGCTATTAAGATATTCCTAGAAACATTAATGTTCATTATGCACTGCAATGCCACATATGAAATTTTGGATTATACTAAGGCCGAGGTAGCAATTATCGATCTCGGCGATAGCAAAGTTCAATCAGGAAATTTTAAAATTCTGCACCACATTAATATTACCGAGTATAAACTAACTATAGACCAGATACAACACGATTTGCTCAATAATATATCCCTTCATTAAAAAAGAAATTGAATTAATAAAGTTCAAAATTAACAAATTAACTTCCCACTCCATTAGAAAAATGGCAATAAATGCGATCGGATCCGTATGGAAATGGATTGCTGGTAATCCAGACCATGAGGATTTCGAAATAATAACTAATAAATTAAACGATGTCATAAGAAATAATAATAAGCAAGTGATTATAAATAAAGACATTATACAAAGAATCAATAAATTAACAGAAGATAACAATGTTATATATATTATATGTTATATAATTCAGAAAATTTCCAGAACATTTTTGCTACACAGTTAAAGTATAAGATAGATTAATAAAGGAAGATTTAAGTAATATCAATCTTGCCATTCATTTATCAAAGGCAAATATAGTAAATACCTTTTTAATAGCAGAAGAAGAAACCGAAATAATAAACAGCATTTTCACAGAAGAAAATATTCCATTCGACAGTATAGAGGAAGCTCTGAATTTTGCTGTATAAAAATCGCATTTAATTGCGAAAAATTAATTTACGTTATCGATATTGCAAAATTAAATAATGAAATATGTAAACATCTACTCATCAAACCATTAAAAAATATGGGAAATGTAATTAAGATAAAAGATGAAAATGTCATTAAATGTAAAAATGCAGTCTTTTCAACTAACAACCAATGTAAAAAAAATTAATAAAATCAGTATGTGCTTAAGGTCAAATATAGTAGATATTTCAAATGACAACTGCATTTCAAGTTATTAACAAATAGACCAAACAATTGTACCATCAGTAACGATAAACACATAATAGCAATAGAAC